TTTATAAATATAATAGTAATTCTTAAAATAAGACATTTTTAGTTATTTAGACAAAAATAAAAATTTTACTATAAATTATATATACAGTATTAATTGTGTAACATTCTTATGAGGTTTCAACAACAACCATTGATATATAAATAATATTTATTTTATTTACATAAGTTACAAAATCACTTAAATAATTTAAAAACTTTTACAGAATTTAAGTAAAAGCCATTTTCTTCCAATTAATTTTTTATGTTCTTATTATTTTTATTTCACATAATCAGTTGGATTTATGTAAAAAATTGAATTATGTTTCTTAGATAAATCTCTTTTTTTTGAAATGATATATATTGTTTAATTTCTATTTTCAATTTTTGATTATTTTCCTTAGTAATCTAACAATTAGATAATGAAATTAGAATAGAATAGAAAGTGTAATAAGTGTAATAAGTAGCAGTCTATAATTCACTCAAGTGTTATGTATATATTAGTTTTGTCGTCTCAAATATTAATTATTGTTAAAGAACAAAATATTTTTTTTTGTTTTGTTTCATCATTGACCACTTCCTACTTTCTTTAAACAAAGTTTATGATTTGAAAGTGAAGATCAATTAATAACTCGAAGCGTTAAATTTGAAATGAATAATTTCAATAGTGACTACGGTGTAAGTTTCTGTGATGAAATTTACACAATAATTTTTTCCATACAAAACACGCAGGAATTTTGTTATATTCATTTTTCTTGCAAATTTATGGAAAATAAACGCAAAAACAGTTATAAAATTTTTATTTTTTCAAATTTCAGCAATTAGAAATGAAAGTAAGCATATATATAATAACATAATTAATTATGCAATAAAAATTGCTAGGTACAAATCAAAACTGAAATTATTCCATTACTTACTGCAACTTATCAAAAGATTTTTTATTGCAGTAAAAGTCGTTTTGAAACACAAATATTTAAAATTTATAAGCTAAGTTTCTCCACGTTATTTAAATGCCAAAAGTGACAAAGTGGCTAAATTTATGCATCTAAAATCATACATGTTATTTTTCTCTCTTGTATAAACTGTACTTTCAATATCTTTGATACACTTTCTGTATATTTCTACTTGCATTTTAAAAGTTCTACACATGTAAGATTCGTGCAATTTCATAATAAATATTTATAAATTCATAATAAATATTTCATAATTTCCGTATTAATAATTTTCCAATTTTTCTGCAAACAAGATATTTTTGGTTCATTTTTACAAAATTTTGGATTGAATTATGTATAAATCTTAATATCTGCATATAATGCAATAAATAACGTACATATACAATATGCAAGATACACAATATATATTTAATACATATGTGTGCATGCATGTATGTATAATTATATATTATTGAGAGTTAATATTCTAAATATAAACGAAAACCGTATAAATAAATACACTTAATTTATTCTTAGGTAGTGCAACAACCAGGAATAGAAGACTCGACGACTGCTTTCGCCGAAATTCCATGGCAGGCAATGGTTTTGCACACTGGAGAAAAAAAAATCCTGTGTTCTGGCGCGCTAGTTGGTACTCAAGATATATTGACAGCGGCCAATTGCGTTGACAGGTAAAGTTGTCAAATATAAACACCAAAGCTATATTTTAGTTTTAATTTTACGTGAAATTCTGTCGAAGAGAAAATTGCCGAAACGGAAAATGATAAAGTGCTATCTAAACGTAGACATAGCAATAACTAAATAACAATAATAACAATAGTAAATAATGATAATAATAATAATAAATAATAGTAATAAATAACAATTAATAATAATACTAAATAGTAATACTAATAAATAATAATTAATAATAATTAATAATAATAAATACGAAATTTGTATAAGGTATTTATACTTGTACATTAATTATTTCGATAGAAACGTTCGAAAATCAAGACTGGGCCTTATTGATCGATGAAGAGTAGAGGAAAAAATGTTGAACAGTAATCAGAATGTTTTACTCCACTGATCGGGCGTGGTATTGCCCCACTATCCTCCATTCTGGATTTCCCAAAACTTTTTTAGTTCTACGAAATTAAATATTCTAAAAACTACAGCAAAAACTACTTAAAAGAATTTCTTGCAGAAAAACGGAAACATTTTTTTTTAAGCGATGCATACATTATTCAATAAAATCCCCGATCTTATGAATCCTCAAGTTATTTCTACTTTGAATTTTTCTTAAACTTCGTCAGAAAATTTTCGAATGACTCAGAAATATACATACCAAGTTATAAATAAAAGAATAAGATAGCTTATTAAGAACTTTATCGAAATTCCTTAAAACGTAAACAATTTATGCTAAGAAAGTTTCTTAATAATAAGAGCTATATATGTATAGCCAATTTTATTGCACACAAATGATAATAATCGAAGTGATATGATGAAGATATTATATATTTACGTGTTTCCAATCATTCTGATTCATATCGTAATTTCATTGTTCGACGAGAAAGTTTTCAAAGATTATAGAGAACAAAGAGAATCCAACTTTGAGATATATAACATCATTTTTCAACCTATAGATCGTGATCCAGCACTGAATTTAGAATTTTTAATGGATCGTGAAATTAAAATAAAAATAAAAACGTAAATGAAAATAAAAATAAAAATGGAAGTGGAAATGGAATTGAAAATTGTACATCTTTTCGTGGTTAAATTGTATATTATATATCGCTATTATATATCGAATTTCGTTTGAATCGTTCTTATTCTTAGTAAAAATGTATCACATGTTACATTTTAAATGTTATTGCCAAATGTACATAATCTTATTTATTATAATTATGGGATATGTAGTTCTTAAAAATTTTATGTTACAAATATTTCGATCAAGTTGTACAAGTGCCTGCATCAGCTAACTCTCTTGTGATATAAAAAATATTTACCTTTCAAAATTCCGCTTTCTTTTCTTATTTTTCTCTTGAAATATGCTTTGAGTGACACTGGAGCTTCTTAAAACGTCGTAATCGCAGAAATATCAAAAATAGTCTAATTTTAATACACGATTCGCTTATTTGCCAAATTGATTAGCTTCAAAGAACAAAAAGTAGAAATTTATTTTAAATATAACAAATTAAGCATCAGTCAAGTGTTTTGGTGCTAAAATTTCGAAAAATTCAAGAAATGGAGTTAATTATTTTAACATGTGAATGCCTAGTATATTTTAACTCTTTGCACTCGAGAGGTGAGCCTAAGTCACCGTTCAATCAAATTCCGAAGACCCATGTTAATTAACGTATCAAATCTAAAATAACCTAAGATTGCATGGAACGTCGAAATAAAATAATTTTAAGTCTTAATTTATACCCGATTCTTTATTTACCGTTTCAAAAATATTCTCGACGTTGCAGCAGAAAGTCTTTGAATTGCTATTTCTCTGTAACCAAAATAATCACCGAGTGCAAAGGGTTAATATACAGGATATCTCGCGCAATTGGGCCCAATTTGCGGTCTACTTCATTTTCCACTTAAATTTTTTCTTATTTTTTATCGTTTTACTGCTTTAATTGCGTAAAATACACTGCAGAAAAAATAGATTTTCTTAAAAAGGAAAAAGATAAAAATTATCTCAGGTATAACAAATAAGATTAAAAAATTTAGTGGGAGTCTGTCATAACTATATTTATAATATATTGCTTTCGATCGAAGTAAATCTTAATTCTTGTTTCGAATACCACGAATAAGGTAGGAGGACAAAATTGAAAAGAAAAAATAACGAAATATAAATAAGCTATTAGCCATAATAGTTCTAAATAAGCTATAGTTAGCTATAAATAAGCTATAGTTATCCATTTATCGTTTTGATAAACTAAAACTCACCGATTTCGTTACTATTGCACGTAAATATTAAATTAAACAAGTATTAAAAAATGTTAAAAATTAGACAAACTTGTCTGAGAAAAGTGAAATTAATTTTGTACGATATAAAGTTAAACGTTCATTAAGTTCCATCATTTTCCACATTTTGTTAATTTTAATTCCATTGTTTTTATCGTAGAGTCAACTTAGAATAAACTTATCAGCTTAACTAACTACTAATTGTAAGTTATAAGTTAACTACTTAAGTTACCAATTAATTTAGTGTATTATTACTGTTCTTTTATTGTTCCATTTAATTAATACTGTTCCGAATTATTTTATTAATCAATCAAGCCTTTCGCCGAAGGATGTTTCGATAAAGTTAGGAGAATGGAAATTGGGATACGAGTTACCGCACGAGGAACCACTACCTTTCCAAATCATCAACGTGTCATCCATTAGTACACATCCTGGTTACGAGCGGGGAACTGGTGAACACGATCTGGCGATGTTGCATCTCGAAAGCCCTCCTACTTTCGACCTCCATATAAATCCTTTATGTTTGCCAAAGACAAAGCATTTTGTGCAAAACAATAAACCATGTATTTCCACTGGTTGGGGAAAATCTATACTCCAAGGTAATTATTTAAATTTAAGCTGTTACTATTACAAATATATGTATAATATACTATTTTATTGTAATAATTATTATAGTTATAATGATTATAATAGTATTATAATATGCACTATATAGTAATCATAACAAAATAATAAAAATCTAATAATCTTAATTATTAACAATCTTAAATATGAACAGTAAAGCATCAATTAAGAGTATTGACACTAAAATTTTTAAAAATTCCAAATTAATTATTTTAACTTTTAGTGTATTAATATTCTTAATATATTAATACATTATTATTTCTGACATTAATGTACAATATGTTAATATATTTAAAGATTTACGCAAATCGATGCAAGTTGTTTCTCAAAAATTATTTAAATATTTTAATTCGATTCCGTAGTAAACAGAATAAATTTTGTTTTCAAACGTATAAACGTATAACACAAAATGAATTATAAAACATTGGCAATCCGTCTATTAAAACTTGACTAGAATCTATTAATTTACACGAACATCATTTATTTATTAAGTTATTAAGATACGAATAAAACGTATTTATTTATTTGCAAATATAAATGATAATATAATTTTTAATTTATTAAATCCCGTTAAAAGCAAGAGTAAAAACTAAAATCAGTTAAAGATAACTTGAAAAATACGTAGATAATATACGAAACATCGTATAGGAATTGCTACAATAAAATTAAATTAAACGATTGATTGCACAAAAATTTGTCTGTTTTAGCACATTACGCTGGTGTAATCATGAACGTAGTTAACATGAAAGTGCTATCAACAGGACGTTGTAAGGAACAATTATTAAGCACAAATTTTGAAGCTGAAGCTGCAGATGGAACTATCTGTGCTGCACCTGTAGAAGAAAAGAATAACGTTTGCGAAACGGATGTTGGTGGACCGCTTGCTTGTCAAAATGAACAAGGTGTTTACGAATTGGTTGGAATTTATAGTCAAGACACCGGATGTCTTCCAACCAATCAGGTAGGATAGATTGATCATAATAATATAAATACTACATATTCTCTTCATATTCTAAGAAAAAGTATTTTTTATATATTCTTCGTTTTTGAACTGTTTTCAAGTTTCTTATTATTACAATTACTCGTTTAAAAATTAAATAATCGAAATATATCGAAAAATAATCTAAATTAATAAATGAAATTCGAATATCATAAAGATATTGGATGTAATATAGATTTATAATAATCGCTGTTTCAGGTTGCTATGTTTGCTCCATTAGATGGAGTATGGCTAGATGAAACCATACAGAGATCTGAAGAAAGTCAATTAAACATAAAATATGATTATAGAAAAAGTTCTTTGATTACGGATAATCAGTATCTACCTCCAGTTTAAAGATCAATTAACTAATATCTTTTGTCTTTAATATTTAGTACGTTTTTGTATTATATAATAATAATTAATAAATTTATTACCCCTGTGAAATACCTTAGAATAAAAACTCACAATTGCGTTTTATTGCATGTTACGAATTGCTGTTAATTTTGTACATTGCATAATAATTTCAAAAATAAAATAAAATATTATTCATTCAGTATCTAAGTCTAAATTAATATATTAAAGTAAGATATTTATAACACCTTATTTTAATTATCACTTTTTAATTTTTGAAAATGCACAGGAACGTTAAGAACGTTATGATTATTATGGTTGCTGAATTTCTTCTTTTATGCTTTATTTCTTCTTTTATGAAAAAATATCGATGAACTTGAAATCTCTAATAAAATGTTTTGTAGAATCTTGGATATATGCAACTCAAAAAATAATGCAATCATGTTCTGAAAAATTTCTTCATATAGCAATAAATAAGGCAGATATTTAGGTGCCGTGATTTGACTGAGACACCCTGTATTCTCAATAATGGCAAAAGTCAGATATAAAGTACCCCTAACACTAAAATTGCAAGTTTCTGCAGCTGAAATCTATTTGATTATGCGATCAATAGTATAATGCATTATTTACAGCAAATTTTACTTTGTTAAAAAGTTATGTATTAATAAACATAAAACAGTTATCAAAAGTACCTCTTAAATCCACCTATATCTTACTAAAAATAATGAAAATATTATCAATTTTATTCATAAAATTGTTTATGATATACTTAATGAATTTACAAAATTGGATTTTTCTTTCTTCAATTTCCATATACCTCAATTCAACCTAAAAAATAGCGTATTTACGCTAAAAGTGTAAAGTTCCAAGCGTTCTGATCACAAACTTCTGTTATAGTTTTCTTATTAATTAATGGTACATATTTACATAAAATTTTTATTGATTCTAATCCTTTAACTATCCTTATATGTAATCGTAATCAAAAATTTATACATTAAACATCAAAAAGAAAAAGAACTTTCCTCGTTTGAACACTTTGCGTCATCACGAATCTATTAAATATACAGGGTGTTCCGTTATTAATGGATATTCCGATGAATCGTTAAATTCGATTTTCTCAAAAAACAAAGCTCCATATAAAAGAATTGTATTCTTTCTTTTCAACTTATTTTTTCATAAAGTTTGACCTTCTACTCGGTTGTGCAACTAATAACAGAATATCCCGTATAACACAGGTATATACATTTGAAAAATTGAGTTTGCATAAAAAGGTAAATTGAAAATGGTAAAAATTTTAATGAAAGAAATAAAATTTTGCGATAAAACGTTTTATTTATAAAAATGGAAGGAACAGAAATGTATAATATTTTATGTAAAAATTATTATATTATACATGTGGACACATGTATACATAATGGACCAATAATCTTAACAATTTTAAATGTTTCTGTTAGATATATGAAAAATTCTACGTTTGAAATATGTATTTATATATGTATATATGTAGGATTGGAATGAGTACGGCCTTGAAGGAGTGTCGGGAGTGTTTGAATTTACAATTGTTAGAACAAAGGTGACCGCGCGCAAGAGGATTGAATGGATGAGTATCACAGAGCTGAGTGCGATAGACGAGTGCAAGTTAGTTTATGAGTGCGGTGTGTGTTTGAAGTAACTGGTTCGCCGAAGTTGCGAGAAAAGAGGCATGATTGGAAAGGAAGGCCCGAGTGTGAAAAAGGGACAGAATGAATGGTTTAACCGTTTGAGTCCCAAGCAGCGCGATCGTGCTCAACTTTGCTGATGCATGTACGTTACATAGTACCAACAAGCGCTATTGCGACGATTGGGATTTTCCGATATAAAATTAAACAAGCTCTACTGCGCCGTTTGGACTTCTTCGCACTCGATTAAGGCAAGCGTTATCGCGCTGTTCAAGGTTTTTCGACCGTGTTCTTCTGAAAGCTTCAAGCGCTGCTTGGGACTCAAACGGTCAAACACTTAGCCGACCGCACGCCCCAGAGCAAACTATACGATTTCCACCGCACTCGGGGAACTCGAATAAGGGGTCTTAAAAATTGGTGAATTTTATTATATGTTGTGCTTTATAGAAGCAATTCGTCAGTAATTGCGAATAACTCCAAATGGAGGTAATGTAAGTAATAACCGAAAACGAGAAATGCGTTGCTAAGGTCAAAATGGGAGATCTCCCCGATCGGTCGGCTAAGTGTTAAATAAGGTTGCAAGGGCGCAGGCGAGTCAGTGTGTCAGTCCAAGTCATTCTAACAGTTTAGCCTAAGACAGTACATCAGTCAGTCTAAGAATGACCAAGATCTAAGAATTTTCAGTCAAAGACAGTGTGTTAAAGTCTAAAGTCAGTTTATAAGAGTCAGTTTAAGAAAGATCAGAAGAGCATACCCATAGTGAATCTCTCTTGTTTCACAGCCAGCCGCCGTCATTCTGTTTATAAGCTTATTTTATTCTATTAAGAAGTCAATAATACTATCTTAAGTCAATCCATCCAGAATCCGACCTTATAAAGTAAAATATAAATTATAATTTCCTTGCAAGTGGAAATTTCTGAAACTTCAAAATAACGTTTTTAAATGGCATACTATACTTCCAGATTTCTAATCCCAAATAAAAAGTTAATAAATTACAGGATAAAATAAATACGTACATGTATACTCATTCTTAAACAGCAGTTAATTCGATACAAAATTTTAAAAAATTTTCCAAACGTATTGTGTAAACAATGTTTTATATTACACAAATTATCGTTTACAACAAATTTCTTCGCTTTTTTGTTCTTTTTTTTCTTCTTTATTAACAAAAAGGAATTTCTTTTATCTGCTACAGAAGATAATTTAATTTTAACACAGAATAAAAATCACGAAATGAATCACATACGATAAGTTGTACCAATATTTACCGATATAATAATAAATACTCACTCAAGTCAGATGAGTGAAATGCTGGCCAACTCTAAAACACTTCTTACTACTACATTAAAAATTTGCACATCGTTAAAATAGCTATAATAAATACAGCAAATGTTATAAATATAATATATAAATACACCAAATCACGTAAACCAACATGAAATGAAGTTGTACGATATTGTACAATAAAGATCAAGGAAACATGCAGCTCGATGTTTTAAAAACTGGTTCCAAAAAATATTTTTACGAGACAGTGAAGAGGAAAATCTATTCCTACTAAAATACAATCAAGTAGAAATATTTCGTTCCACCTAACTCTACCTTTAATACCTATTTTCCATTATCATTGTTTTTAAGTTCTTGGCAGACATAGTAGTAGCAAAAGAAAGATCAATATTCTTTTTTTCTGCGTGACTAACCTCATCCTATATATCTATCTCTATATATTTGATATTATCTTCGTTACACAATGCTATATGATATATGATATATATTTATTACACGGAATATGATATTTTTACGTATATAAATATAATTTATATTTAATACAATTCAATTTCTTTTTAAATTTGTATGCAAGCAGACTTTTAAATGTTCATTCTAACTGTCTTAAATTTGAACTACATTAATTGATGTGTAGAATGGATCAGCTAACGTAGCCACATTAATTATTTCCAATAACTTTTGTTACTAGAAAATTGATAAAAAATTATTTTGCCGTAAATAGTAAGTTACTAATAATGAAAATAATCAAAATGGTCTCGTTAGGTGGTCCGCACACTGTACAATGAGTATAAAAATACTTATGAATATAAACACATTACTTATATATGTATGTGTGACTTAATGAAGTACACTTTTTGAGACGAAGAAGCAATTTTCTGAAATCTGAAAATTTGTTGATCATTCTGAAAAAAATTTTGTATAATTTTATGAAACTTCATCGTAAAGTGACTAGTGACTGTATCTTTTGAAATAATTACTCTTATTACGCAGTACGTTATTAAAACGTATAGGTCAAGCCTATCCATTGATTCATACATATGTATATTGAGAAACTACGTCATTCTGATTCTATCGTTATAAAACTCCGGGTTACGTATCTGTGAACAGACGTGTGGAAAACCTGACCAATATTACAGATTTTAATGAAGTATTCTTAAAATGAAGTTATTTTCAAAACTATATATCTTTTAAATAAAAATACATCTTGTGAATTACTATCGTTTATTAATATTCTACGTTTTTACAGTTGAATCGATTCAAAGATTTTTTAACTTAAATTCGATTACTATACGACTATGTTACTCGAGGGGACTATACTTTATGCTATCTTTATCTATGTTATGGATATAATCGCTATATAACATTAAAAAATGCAAAAACTAGGAGAAGAAACAAAAAATTAATTCTTTAATCATCTGCGAAGGTAAATAATTTCTTGAACATTTAATTGTAACCAATGATTGATGATAGTAAAAGTTAATAAACGAAATTTTGTGACTTACGAATTTGTTAAATATGATAGTCCACTAATGCTACGTTTATATGTGTGTATATATATATATATATTTCCCACGAAATCATATTATATCATATATCATCCGAATATGGAGTAATGTTATGTTACCATCGAATGTATCCGTAAAATCGATATTAACTGTCGGACATTAGAAGATTTGGCAAATACACAAAAAACAGAGCCAGATCAATTGTGACATACATTTCCGAATTTTTATTCTTATGTAAAGAGATAAACTTTATTGAATTCTGATTTCAATGCTTTGAATTACATTTTCTAACACGATAAAATTTTTTTTACAATTTTCTCTATGGCTTATACGTAGCTTTCGTATTATGACATTTCTTTCGTTTAATTTCTAATATCTACTTTCCCAACACGACTATTCTACTTGGCTTTATAACAATAGACCAAATAGCTAACGTTAAATATATTAATACAAAACTATTTTTTTATAGAAATATTGTTATTTAATGTTTGATGTTGTAATAATTTAAAAATAAAACAATAATGTTATAATAATAAAATTATTGAAAAATATTAATTATTAAATTATATTATTAAAGTTATGTTTGATATTATTCAATAATATTATAAAAAAAATTATAACAGTTATTTGTAAATTATTATGATAATAAAGAAAATTTAAAAAAAAAATAATGTTAAGATAATGTTAAAAAACAATGCATATAAATATTTAAAATATTTTATTCACAGATTAATGCAATAAATTTATAAAAAATAAAATTTGAGAGAGAGGATACAGGCGGAGTCTTACAATCTTGTTAGTCGATCATCTATTTAAATTTATATGAATTGTTAAATTTTTAAAAACAGGGCAACGATACATTACTCTACCTTTTTCATAACTCACTACAGAAGAAGAATATATATCATGAACATGAATGTAATTAAAGGATGGCATTTAATGAGTTTATTTATTTCTTTATAATAACTTAAATCTTTTAATTTATTTATCCTCATACATTTAACATATTCTTTTATATTAGTCCTGATTTTCAATTGGAGTGAAATCTAAATACTGATAAAAGAGTTACAATAAAATCACTCATTTAAAATTATTCCCCAGCTTAGTAAACCAAGAATCATTGTAAGTACATTAGCAGTATATCGTTACTCCCTAAATGCTTATTACTGATTTTATTTGGATGAAAAAACTTTCATTATTCATTATTTAATCAAATTATTTTATTATTATATTTGTAATAGAAGTTGTAGTAACAATTTTGTTTATTATTATATTTGTATTCATACATAGACATAACTTTTGATTAATATGGTAAAAGTCAACAAGAATATTCTTAAATAAACTTTAAATGCAACTTCCTGCATTCAAAAAATAATAACTATTTATAAACATTTTAAACTTTAAAATTACTATTAATATCAATCCCAATTTCATTGCATATTGCTGTAGTTTTATAAGGTTCTTATTTGTTTTAATATGTTATCAACTAAACTCATCATTATTGATCATTATAATAAAGTCTTAAACGTATATTATTTCAAAACTATTTGAATATTTTACAATAATTGAAAATGAATACTGTTTAATCTTTTCTTATGAATATCCTTTATTTAGCAAGTTACTTTAGTGACTTTGTCAAAAATCTGTTTATATTTTTCTGATTTTAAAAGAACATATTGTATTTTAACATCAATAAGGAATATAGATTGGGGGAGTTTGAAAAGGTTTTCACTATTTTTTTTTTTTTTTTTTTTTTTAAAAAAACAGAATGCATGGTCTGATTTCAATGATTTTGAAATATATTATAGAGGGCAAAATTCTCAACAACTTTTATTTGAATAATAATTGCCACCGTGCCTATTTTCGAGATATTTACAAGAATTATTGGTACTACTATATTTGACTTTGCCTATAAGTGCATTGTATATACATTGAGTGCGTAACAAATATGATACTAATTTATTTATACAATGATACAAGTTTGAAGACATTTATATCTTATAAATTAATAGTGAAGTTATTATTATATATTGAACACAATGCTAACTATAAAAATATATTAGTATTTTAAGGCATTTCCTTTGCCTTAGTAGAGTTCAAATTATAGATGATAAGAAGAGATTATCCATTACCAATAAGAAATAAGAATAAAAATGATAATGCTGATCAAGTATTTTTTACCAATATATTTGTCAATGGTTGTCAGAACCCACTGAGGTAATTATGAGTGTGATTGATATACTCATTTGCTTGCAATGAATGTTAATTTGTATTATTATTGTATTACCATAATAGTGATTCAAGAACTGAAAATCTGATGTGTTCCAATCTGTAGAAAGTTATAAAATCATTGTCTAGTTAACAAACAATGGTTCTGCATCATGAAGTATTTTTTCACTATAATAGCATACCACGAACATTCTGAGACGAAGACTACATATTAATTAAAGCTAATAAAATGATATTGGCTAATTATGATTATGATTTAGATCTCTGAGAACAACACTGTGTGTGTCAACAATGAACGAGATGAAAAATCTATGAATTGTTAAACAGAGAAACCCTCCCTATTGGGACTATTATAGGATTGTATTAGGAAAGGTAGCATAAAATTGTTCTGGACTCATATCCTATGTTATATTCTTATATGTTTTTTTACTCAAAAGTATACAAACTACATATTGCAAGGAATAAAATTAATATAAAAGGAGATGCTTCAACAAATACATTTTAAATCTTACATTTACAAATATCTTTAGTTGCATATTAAATTAATTATACATTCTATACTTTGTATGCACTCACCCAGCAGGTTTTTCATAATGGAAAAAGGATAAAAAAATTGGGAAACAATCATATTAACTTAATTTAGAATTAATCGACAATTATGATGTTGTCAAGTAACATTTTACCAATTTTGAATAATATTTTGATTTTTGTTACCACTTCAGATTTTGATTCATAACCTATGTATATATTCACATATCACTTAATACAACTAATATAATTGTATAACACAATAAATAAAAAATCTAAATCAATTCTAATGTGTAATAAATTGATAATAATTTAGTATATTCTTAGAATTAAAGAAAGATAACGAATTGTCATTCTTTCATTCATCAATATAACACATACATTAATCTATATCAAATTAAATAATATGTATGTATGATATAGATATAATTTTGAATAAAACTACATGTATATATATGTACATAGCAATGGGGATAAAACTGCATATATAATCATTAATGTAATTTATTACTGAATATTGATTTTTTAAATTACAAATTCAAACTTCTTCACTACTAGAAAATTAAATTTTCCTATCTCAGCAATATTTTATTTCTTAATAGTAATATTTTACAAATTTATAAATATAACTAACATATAAATATATATTATATATGAAAGAAATATTTATAAACATATGACTTGTAAATAAGCAGTAGTTTAAATACAATATGAAATTGATTATGCATCTAGTTAAAATAATATGCACCAATAGTTTCATACTTCATTTATGTTTCTTGAATTTATGTTTTCAGTGGCGCCAGTTTGGTGCAACTGTGTCCACTTTTGGTACTAAAATATTGAATCCTTTCCCTTGGTATCATCCGACACAACATCTATTCAAAAAGATACGTTCATTTAATGACGAAAATTATGTACTTGTAGTACGAGACGACGAAGTTCGAAATTTCTTAGTAGGAAATTAATTCTACTTTTCGTATCGTATAATCAAATAACATTACTTTCATTAAACATGGATAAAAGAAAAATGTCGTGAGTATTTTACCACCCTTGTCTGAACATTTTTGCGTTTTAAACTATTTTTTTATCTAAAAAATTATGTTGTTTTCTTTTAACAGTAGCTTATATACATTTTTTCATTAAATTTGGTTAATATATTTTAAGAATTGAATAATTCTACAAAATTGGAAAAATCGTAGGTTATTCTTCTATTCACTCTTGCATGTTTTAATCTTTATTTTCCATTTAATTTATATTTTCATTTATTTGTTTTTGAAGAAAATGAAAAAAATGACAATTCTGTCAATAAATATTTTAGTTTTTAAAAATGAAGATTTATATTGACTAGGTTAATTTCTTGATCTGTGAGTATTATCAGTATGTTTTAAAATTACTGCATCAAGATTAGTTACTTTACAAAAATCAATATATATATATGATTAATTAAATGTATAATTTAATTTATCTAGACCTTAATATAAAAACTGATTGTAACTGTAATTGTCAAGATTACAAAATATTTTTTGTATATCTGTAAAAATTAATGTAGTAGCACTAAGATAATAATAGTAGTAATAGCAACTTAAAATTAGTAAAACTAGTCTAATATAACAAAAATTTTTAATTATAAAAAGAATATAGATTGATGAATGTAAATTAATAATTATTTTGTAATATGGAAATCAATTATCAATATTTTAAAATAAATTATGATTCATTACATTTTGATTAATTAAAATTTTATGAAACATGTTTTAGGTATTATTATAGTAGTGTCATTTAAAGTAAAAATCATGTTTAATAACTGAATTACTAAGAGGAAAGGATTCTAAATGAGAGAAATAGGAGATTTTTAAATATTATATAAAAAGTAAACAAATTCTTAAATTCTTAAATTTGAAAAACAAAAAAATTATATACTTTATATTTTTCACATTTAATTAAAATTTTTCATTTTTACATTTATCACTTGATATTGAGTTAATTTATGGATTTAAACAAAATTTGTTTAATTTATGCTCACTTTTATGTGATTTGTAAAATAATGTCTACAATTTAATGAAATATGTTTGTGGTAGGAATTGATAATTAACTGATTTATTAACATCTTCATTGTTTCAGGACAGCAGGGGATTCCCTGTACCAAATTTTAGAAATTCCAAAAACTGCTACTCCTGAAGAAATTAAGAGAACTTATAGAAAATTAGCATTAAGATATCATCCTGATAAAAATCCAAATAATCCAGAAGCAGCGGAAAAGGTAAAATTTAATATATGATATTAAGAATATACATCTTCTCTATTTCAGTAAAACTTATCAGTTTTTATCCTTTTTTGTTTAATAAAACGTGCATAATTTTCTAAAGTAGTTTAATTTATCTTTGTGTTGTTTTATTATTTCTATTTATCATATGGGATAAATTAAATTTATTTTTAGTAGAAAAAATATATAACTTTCCCTTTGTTATTATTGCTATTAAAAAAATGATTTATTTCAAAAATTTGTTACAGTTTCTTGTTGTTAATCTAATTACTATAGTATTAGTTTTATTTATTTTTATATATTTGTAGTGGAATAGCCATCTCTTTGAATAGTTATGTTAAATATGAATCATTTTCATATGTTTTAGATTAGATAAGATTTGTTTCAAAGAACAGCTAAAACATTTGTGTAGGTTTTTGCAAGTTTAAACAAGATAAAGTTCATTGAATAAAGATGAAATTGTATTAAAGTTTATAATATCATTTTTTTGAATGCAAAAAGAAATATTAATAATATCCTTTTGGTTCTAATAATTAATTTAATCTTTATTTTTGAAGAATGTAAAAGTTTAAAGTATATTGAAAAAATATACAAAAATTATATTTTTTCAATTTATTTCTAAAGTTTTATGCAAATTGTGTTGAGATACTTGAAATTTAATTTAACTTCATGTTAATAATTAAAGTATGTATGGTAATAATTAAAGATATAACAAGTTATAACTTTCTAAATATATTAGTTAATAGCATAGAAATGAAAAATTGTTAAAGTGAAATAATATATGAAATTTTGAAAGTAATAATTTCTTAAATTGGTTTTTCTGTTTTAGGATTGCATTTTTAATAATAGTAAAAATATATTATTAATTTTAAATATATTAATTAAAAATAAGTAAGGGAATTTTAATTAATAAAAATTATTTTGTTTCTTCGTATGTAATATTCTATTAAAGATTTTATGTTTTAATCAAAAATTGGTTTAAAAAATGTTATACTATAATCTATGTTTAAAATAATTACAATAATACGTTACAAAAAAACGAGGTTAAATGGACCCTTACTCCATATAGATATATTTTTGTTATTCCTTTTTGAAAGTATCATATATTTGAATTATCAGTAAATATAATTTTTCATTTTATATAGAATGTTGAAATAGTTTTAAAACTATTAATTTGAATATCATAATATTTCAAACTTGTTGATAGATTACTAAATTAAAATGTTAAATCTTAAGTGTTGAAGGTCAAAACATTCCCGACACAGCAATTTTACCGTTGCATTTGAAACCAGACACGCACGTGACTTATCAACTATAGTTTATGTTAAAGAGTTATATTACTCTTTCTCTTTTTATTTATTTCATCCGTATTGTGTGAATTTATTCTCGCAGTAGTCGAGCGATTTCTTTAGTGTTCAAATCATTTCTTGATGATGAGGTGTAGTCAATCCATCAGATGATGGACACAATAATGACAGTGGCTACTTTAAGGGCAGTGATTTTAAAAAATAATCAATGAGTAAGCATATGTGTATTTCGTTTGCTATAAGACGTTACTGCCCACAGATCGCCTATAATAAAAAATTTTTCAACTGCTGAGGGTTAATATATATATATCCTTTTTTATAAAAGTAACATATCAATACTCAGTAGAAAACTGCAATAAATTGTTCTTTATTGTATAACTGTTCCTTTCTATATATATATATGTTTCACAGCCTCTACTAATTATATGTACATATTTGTAATTTCTAATTAAATGTAATTGTTTATAAATTTCATCTATTTGAACATGATTGTGTTTCAGTTTAAAGAAATAAATAGAGCACATGCCATATTAACAGATCTAACTAAGAGAAATATATATGATAATTATGGATCTCTTGGGTTATACGTTGCTGAACAATTTGGTGAAGAAAATGTCAATGCTTACTTTGCTTTTACTTCTGGTTGGTGCAAGGTAAGGTTTTGCTAATTTCTGAGCGTTTTATCAGTTAAATATCAATTTCACATTAGTTTCATTATGAAATTTAATAAAAATTTATTATTAGTTTTAGAAATGATAATAAATTAATTTTTTATTTATTTTATTTATTCAAACTTTTATATTGTATTTTTATTTTCTTAACTGTGAAATTAGTAAATACTTAATATTGGTATCATATAGTTAAGAAATTTAAATACTATGATTATAATATTAATTAATATAAAAATAATTTATTGTTTACAGGCACTCTGCATATTTTGTAGTTTGATAACTGCATGTTATTGCTGTTGTTGTTGCTGTTTTTGTTGCAACTTCTGCTGTGGCAAATTTAAGCCAACACCACCGGAAGATAGTGGAGCATACCACAATTTACAGGTAACATTCTTATTTATTTTTCTATTTTTAAAATATCTTGTGATATGAAGAGTTGTACATATTATTATTATTCATAATAATTTATTAATTGTAATAATAAATTGTAATTGATATTAAATATTAAATATTTTATTATTACAATTAGTTTATTAAATATTATTTCATATTTACTGTGAATATATGATTAAAAAGAAGAAACTTTTTACAATGAAATATATTCATCATTATTGATAAATTAAGAGAGATATTTTTAATTATACTTATAAATATAATTGACTATACTTTTTTTAGTATTATAAATTACTGCTTATTAATTATTTAAGATTAATTAAATCAGTATTTATAATTAAGATTATATTTTCAATAAAAATATTTCTAATGGTTTTATGTAAATACAATGAAATTAGCTCAACAGAAATGCATATAAAAATTTAAAGACTATGATATTTATAAAACTATATATGAAACATTTATTAGTCAAAAAATTAGTTAAGAAATGTAATTAGTAGATTATTGAAAAATTTTAATATTAATGTTCTTAACGAAATTGATGCTTTTAATAAAATTAATGTTATAGTTTTCTTAAGTAATTTAATTTATAAATATATTTTTTTTATATTTAAATTATTAAATTAAAAATTATACTAAAAATATTAACATATGATATTTAATAAATGTAGTCAGAATCATATCATTTAATATATATTTATAAAAAAATAATGAAAAATTACATGGTTATCAACTATTTCAAAGAAAATAAATCTTTATTAATTGGATGTTATCTCCGACAGAATGACATTGAAATTTTATTATATAAGTCATATGTTACATGAAAGCTGACTAATCCAAGTAAGAGTTTGACATGAAGATAGATTATGTATGAAGTGCTAGTATCAAAAATATAGGTTAGCATTACTAAGAATACTGATATATATCAACATAAAATATTAGATTTTGCAGAAAATTCTGTTTTGACTTAGTTTTTTTTTGTTTTAATATGTTTTACATTGCATTGCATTACTACGTAAATTTTTAACTCAATTGAAAATCAATAGAAGCAAGTAGAAGTATATTAAGCATTTATAGAAAATGCTTTTTGTGATTGTAAAATATAATCTTGATCTTAAAAATTTTTATCTGAAAATGAAATACTTAAAGATAACTCATATGAAAAATGTTAGTTATGGAACATGAGACATGAACAAAGTTAAAAAATCTAAGAATGTTACAAGTAGTGGCATATGATTATTTTTACACAATTGGAGAAGCACAAAAACACAATAAATGGGTTTAGCATGAACTATTTCTTGATAATGAAAAGACTTGATTATGCAATTTGTTTTGCATTGATTCAGCAGATGTAAAATAATAGTAGCTCAATAATTACTTCTGATAAAAATAGATTCTTCATAATAATATATAGTAATTATATTAATTGTTGTTATCTTATGATTTACCTTGTAAGATTAATTAAATTGAATTGGAAAATTCATTACAGTAGGGATATTGTACCTATATACTATATATAATAAATAAATATATATATTTTTATTTA